TTGCAGCACTGTTTACAATAGCAAAGACCTGGAACTAACCCAAATGCCCATCAATGATAGACTGGACTGAGAAAATGTGGCACATATACACCATGGAATATTATGCAGCAATCAAAAATGATGAGTTCGTGTCCTTCGTAGGGACATGGATGAATCTGGAGAACATCATTCTCAGCAAACTGACACAAGAACAGAAAATGAAATACCACATATTCTCACTCATAGGCGGGTGATGAACAATGAGAACACATGGACACAGGGAAGTGAGTACTACACATTGGGGTCTATTGGGGGAATAGGGGAGGGACAGCGGGTGTGGGGGGAGCTGGGGAGGGATAGCATAGGGAGAAATGCCAGATGTGGGTGAAGGGGAGGAAGGCAGCAAAACACACTGCCATGTGTGTACCTATGCAACTATCTTGCATGTTCTGCACATGTACCCCAAAACCTAAAATGCAATAAAAAAATAATAAAAATATAAATAAAAAAAATAAATAAAAGATGGGATGGTAAACTGTGGGTATATTCTGGATGGCTCCAGGTAATTCATGTTTATTGCTGTTAATATCACACTTATCAACAAGTTTGCTATTGACTGCAGCCAGGAAGCAATATCTTGGCATTCTGTTGACCTCTGCTCATTCCAAAGGGTTGAATTTGTTTTCAGAGGTGACTTCTGCATCTCAGAGAATTTGGGTCAGTGCAAACATCTCTACACCAGCACCACCTGGCCTTCTTATAACACAATACTTGGGTTGAACTATCCACACTAAGCAGATGGTGAGGAGTGGGCAAGTATCAAGTCAACTCCCAACTCCATTGAACACAGCTAATTAATGAATTATAGAACTGAGCCTTGCTGACTATTTAGTTCAATGCACTCGTTTAATATCAGGACATCCAGATATCAGTTGAGTCACAGAGTGCCTGGTGGCTTACCCATGCCACACAGCTGGCTGAGATCAGAGCTGTAGGGAGAGCACTGATCTCCTTATTTCTCATTCAGAGAACTTTGTACCACATCATATAGCTAATCCTAAGCAATTTTTAGGGTCCAGATAAATCATTTTTAGTTTTTTCAGACTGGCTTGAGTTTTCAGATGATGCTTTGGTATTCACTATTTTATACATATTAAGGAAGTTATATAAACATTGGAAACAATGTTTTCCTTCCCCCCTCCCCCCCACACACCTCCAATTTCTAACTTTCCCTCAATTGGAAAGTTAACCCATTTTTTGGTTTATACTGATTATTTCATCAGAATTCACTGATATTTGGGAAAAATGCTACACTGCCCAGAATTACTGTCTTGGTCATAGAAACAATACTTCAAAATGCTCTTCCAATTCTGTGAAAAAAGTCAATGGTAGCTTGATGGGGAACTGAATGTATAAATTACTTTGGGCAGTACGGCCATTTTCAGGACATTGATTCTTCCTAACCAGGCGCATGGAATGTTTTTCCATCTGTTTGTGTCCTCTCTTATTTCCTTGAGAAGTGGTTTATAGTTCTCCTTGAAGAGGTCCTTCACATCCCTTGCTAGTTGTATTCCTAGGTATTTTATTACCTTTGTACCAATTGTGAATGGGAGTTCACTCATGATTTGGCTCTCTGTCTGTCTGTTATTGGTGTATAGGAATGCTTGTGATTTCTGCACATTGACAATTTTGAAAGTAACTGTCAAACAGCATCACATACTACAGAGAATTCTTTCATGAACGGAAGATTAAATTGAGGCAGGAAGCTTCACTGTTGTTTTATTTTGAGACATTGCCACAGTGACTCAACCTTTAATGACTACCACCCTGATCTGTCAGCAGCCATCAACATCGAGGCCATACCTTCTACCCGCAAAAAGACGATGACTCCCCGAAGGAAGGCTCAGATGACAGCATTTTATTTTTAGCAATAAAGTATTTTTAAATTGAAACAAAACAAAACAAAACAACATGCTCTTAACTTGTATCTGTGGCCAATGGAGTTGTGTTGGAAACTGAGACAGGGTGAAGCCTCCTGCTAATGATGTTGCCTCTGCTTGGAAGCGAGCTGTGGCTCTGAAAGGGCTGATTGTGGAAAATCAACTGGCAAGCAGGAGCTAGAAAGGAAACTGGCCCTTCCTGGGGCAGCTGTAAGTTCCTGAGGACAAGTTCAGAGTCTTCCCAACCCTGTGAGGAGTTGCTGAGGACATGGTGTGATTAACTGAGGAATCCCTGTATGCTTCAGAGGCAGACAGTGAGTAAGTGCTTCATGCATCTTAATGGTGAATGTGCTGTTTCCCTAACAATCTCAGGGTAAGCTTGTTAGGGAAACAGGGCGACACCATTTTAAAATCAGCTCCTTCTTAAAACTAGCAAGGCACATTCCTTGCCAGCCACAACCCATAGTGGTGAAATGTTTACGGCTGAGGAAACAGCTTAATAAAGCTTGCAAGGAGAAACTCCTACTACAATGAGATGTCCGGATGTCCTGATCTCTCTTAATAATACATGCTTTAAAGATGATTCTAGACATGTTGTGATATACTTTCACACTAAAATACCAAAAATAACTTTCTCTGAATCAACAAACTAATACATCTTGTCACGCTGTCAGCCCACCCTCATGTTGTCATAGCTTGACTTTTACATAGATAAGACTTTTGTATAAGAGAAACTTAAAGATGGTGCATTTCTCTGCTTGCTTTCTGAGGATGCCCTACTCTGCAACTGAGTAGCTTTCAATAAATGATCCCTTCTCAGTGCTCTCTGTGACTTGCCTTGAATTTCTTCCTGCACGAGATCCAAGACCCTCTCTTGGTGTCTGGATCAGGACCCCCATTTTTGGCAACAAGATTTCTGTCTTTTGGGGAAAAAATTTCCTCATTTCTTCTAGATGTCCCAAAATGCTTCACCTCATTTTTACACCTAGAACTCAAGTCTGACCTGTAAGAGACTTAGGAGGCTGAGGGCCCACGTCCCTGTGCAGCTCAGGGTCTGCTTGTCCCCCAGCTCCCATAGCCCACTGTTTAATGGGTACTTCAGTTTTTCACTGAATAACTTAGAATCAAGAAAATGGCTGGGCTGGGTACCGTGACTTATGCCTGTAATCGCAGCACTTTGGGAGGCCGAGGTGGGTAGATCACCTGAAGTCAGGAGTTCGAGACCAGCCTGGCCAACATGGTGAAACACCGTCTCTACTAAAAAATACAAAAACAAGCCAGGCACAGTGGCAGGCACCTGTAATCCCAGCTACTCAGGAGGCTGAGGCAGGAGAATCACTTGAACCCGGGAGGAGGAGGTTGCAGTGAGCCAAGGTCATGCCATTACACTCCAGCCTGGGTGACAGAGCAAGACTCTGTCTCAGAAAAAAAAAAAAAAAAAAAAGAAGAAGAAAATGTTCTATGAGCAAGCCTACAATTTGGAGCAGTTCTCTGAGGTCATGGACAATGGCCAGCTGTGTTCTGTCTTGATTACTGGGAAAAAGGGAAGGAAATTGGACTGACATGTCCAGGTTCTAGACAGGCTAAATGTGCTTTGAATTTGATGAAGTCTGTGCTAGCCATGGACGTGTGACAGAATGGCTATGAGATGCTGGCTGGTTGTGCGTGTGGCTCAGAGTAGGTGTGAGGGTCACTGGTGAAAACTTCAGACTTGACATCAGAACCGCACAATGAGCAAGGTCCCATGGCAGTGTCTACGTGTGTGTGTGTGTGTGTGTGTGTGTGTGTGTGTGTGTGTTTAGAGGAGGCAGTGTACAGGGAAGAGACTAGAAAACTCCCAGCTTCAAATTCTTTTCTTCCATGAGAACCCATTTTCATATCTTGTAGCAAACCTGGAAGGGTCAGCCCTTCTCTGAGCCACCCTCCTTGTTGATGGCCAAGCATCTGGAAGAAACAAGAATTCCATCTTAATAAAGTCTGACTGCCCTAGTTGTTGTCTACTAGATATGCCACACTGGGGCGCAGACAAACCCTTGATAGGAGTAGCAACAGTGACCTCAGAGACATTTGGTACCTCCTCCTGACATGCCCTAAGGAATTGTGCATGCTACCGCCATGCCTGCCCTGTGGCTCCATTTGACTTAATGGGGAGGGTGTGGACTGCCTGGTTGCACTGAAGAGGAGGGTAGCAGAGAAATAAGGCTGGAAAGGGCTGGCTCTGCCTTCCACGGCAGAAGCTGTATGCCTGGGAAGGAAGTCAAGAGCATGAACTAGACCTCCAACTTTTAGATGTGGGCATACCGTTCTCTTCTTCAGTTGTGCAAGAGGCTTCTCCCAGCTCCAGGGACTCTGCTATTGGCTGCAGCAGTGGTTCCAGATATTCCCACTTCTTCGTCTTCATGCCTTTTGCAATGTGGCCTCTCATGAAGAGATAAAGTTCATTTACCCACCCTTGCATCTAGGCTGGCCTCAGGTCTCGCTTTGGACAACAGAAAAGTGGGAAATAAGTAACAGTGTGCCAGTGATGAGCCTTGTTCTTAAGAGGCCTTGCAAACTTCCACCCATCCTCTTGGGCCCCACAATGACCCTGTGAACAAGCCTGGGCTAGCCTACTGGATGAAGAAAAATATGTGGCCCAGTCACCCCCATTGACCTAGTTCATAGTTGTCAGTTCCCAGAAGGAGAGCCAACTAATTTACCTGCAGTTAGCTACAGACACGTGAGGAGCCCAGGTGAGATCAGGAGAGGCGCCTAGCTGAGCCCACCTGAAATTGTTAACCCACAAAATTACAAGCAAAATTGGTGGTGGTTGTTTTAAGCCACTAAATTTGGGGCAATTTGTTTCACGGAAATAGATAACAGACACACACCCCAGTGGGGGTAGGTTAGGAGAAGGCCTAGGCTGTTGCTGAGGGTGGGAGCAACAGCCAAGAGTCACCTGAGGTCAGGAGCCTCAGTAGGTAGAGCCCTGAGGCCCTCCTCGAGACTGGGCTGGGGAAGCCAGAGTCACAAAATAAGATGGGTTGGGAAGGAGCCTGGGGCACAGCTGGCAGGAATAATAAGGACCAGCACACGTGGTTACCCTGGGCAATAAATAAAATTTTAATAATGACAAGGAGTTGCTTTCCGCATGCGCTGTTTCCAGGGCTGCTGCTTTCGGGCTTTAGGTCTCGGCCACATCACTGAAGTGGACTTTCCTCGATATAAAATCCTGATTCGTTAGCATTAAGTCACCAGGGAATTCCGATATGCAGAAAAGATTTCGGTTCGTTAGGCCTGTGATGGACCGTTCTGGTTTCTTTGCTGGGAGGAAGGATTTTCGATCATTTGCATGGTATGTTAAACATTTTTTTGGTTCTCCTGACTTGAAAACTACATTCATTTTTATTTCTCCTCTTTTTGTGTTTTTGCCCTCTGCTTCCTCTTTCTCAGCTTGCTTGGCTTCGTCACAGTTATGGCTGTCATGGTTGCCCTCTTGTCTGGCCTTATTTTTTGCCATTGGACCCAGGCCCACTCCAGACAGAAATGAGGAGCATCTGAACTTCTCAATGTAGGGTAAAAGCTGACTATTTCTCTGAGCCTGAGCAAGCCTCATTCTCGCTATGTGCTTACTGACATTCACCTGCTCTCGTTGTGGCATTTGAAACTCCTCTGGGGGCACAATCACATTTGCTGTCCATATTTTTTCTAGGGGTCCACAATTAGCACGAGGAGAGGAATGTTCTTTTTGATACTCCGTTGCCCCTGTGTGGTCTGGAGACTGCTGCTGTAGTTTCTTGAGCATTCTCGATTCTTCCTCTTGCTTGTAAGCCAAAAGCCTTCTTGCTGCTATAGTGTGAATGCCACCGAGACTCTGACAATGGAGAAAGAAGTTGTTAAAATCCCAGTAGCACAGGGGCAGGCAGCACCCACAGACACAATTCGCTAGTAACTGCTTCTCCCTCCAGTGCAGAAAGTGTTTGAGCCCCTCTGTAGTGACATACAGGGTGAACCTTTGGGGTCAGATAAGCTTGTGTTAAAATCCTGACTCTCCTCACCTACAATGAATTCAGAATAATTTTATTGACTTTACAGAGTCATGGTGAAGTCTCGACAAGACAACGTATATGAAAGTGACCAGTGCAAGGTAGGAGCCGAAGAGATAACTGTTTTCATCATTTGTTATTACTTATATTTCTAATTGGAACTTGTCAATAAGGATATTTTGCTGTGCAAGTGTGGAAGCCACTAGCAGACTCACCAATGTGAGTTCACTGTTTGAGAGGTGTCTCTGTTACTGGTGGTTTCTGAACCTTTGGCTCCCCCTAGCTAAACCGGCTGGCTTCAGTGAGGCCTCTGTGTGAAAACTGCGGGACACTTACTAGGATCTCTTTTTCCAAGGGAGAGTATTTCCCGAAGGCAATCCGCGGGTCTGATCTGTAGAATTTGCTCCATGTCCTGGAAGAACAGAAGCAGGAGTATCAGAATCCTTGAGAAGTTCTTCCTACTTTTCCCTCCTGGAGTGGGAAGGCTCACAAAGGGTTATGCTACACTGTCCAGGCTGAGGCTGCAATGAGCAGGGGTTTCTGTAGCCCCTGGGTGGGCTCCTCCACTTGGCTTCTTTCTGACATGGACAGATTAAAGCACAAGTCACACTTACCCCAACGGTGAAGCAGAGCTCATATTCTCTTGGAAACACATTGGGGCTTGATCCTGAAAGGAACAGCTGGCATTAAATACTCTGACTGGCTTTTCGTTCTTCCTTTCTTGGGCCATCGCATCACTAGCCCTCTGTTTTCCAATCTCCTGACAGTCGTTCTCCCATTCTCTGACTGAACTCCGGCAATAGGCTGGGAAGGAGATGTTCATGTCTGGAGTTTGTTTCTAAGACAAACTGATGGAAGCCCGAGGGTCAGTCACAAACAGTTCTCGCATCATAACTGGCTTACTTGGGCGCTATTGTGAGGTCTGAGTTCAAGACATCAAATGATGCCCCGGGGTGAAATGGACACATACTACCAGGCTCTTGGTGTGCTGGAGTCCAGAGGAAAATGGATAGAGAATGTGGCTGGGAGGCAATCTGACCGTGTCACTGCCATTGACAAACCCACAAGACTGCTCAGTTTTCACCAGAGGAAGACTCAGTCAACTAAAGTCTCTCTCTGGTTTTCACTTGTCTCTTCAGCCTTAGCTCCTCATGCTTGATCAACACCACACTACCCATCATTCTCAAAACAAGCACCTAAGCTGTTGTTCACAGTCCCCTCGTGTGCCAGATTCCTCTCTTATCCTTGGCAATTGCTTGTCTCTCAAGACCCAGCCTAATTGTTGCTTCCTCTGAATGTTGCAGACTAGATCACCCTTTGTCCATGTTCTCATGGCACTGAAGGCATCATGCTATGGTGCTTTCTCATATACCGACTTGCTTGGTAAGTCAGGTTTCTTGGTAAATCAGTCTTTCCCTCTACTGAAAAAAGGTGCCAACAGCATCTTATTCTTTGGGAATGGTTTAGGGCAGATGCTCAGTTTGCTAACTCTTAAAGGTTTGGTCAAGAATGGCACTGGTGGGAACGGATATTGCCAAAACTCTATGGAAGGCAATTTGGCAATATGTATCAAATATATAAATGCATTTCACCTGGTTATGTGTATGAAATAAATTATGCACAAGGTTGGTCAATGCACCCTTTTTTGAGGTGACAAACCTCATGGTTTGTTAAATATTCATTAACCAGGAATTGGTCAGAGAATTCTGGTTAGCCAAACAATGGAGTAACTATAGGAGTGAAAAAGATCAAGGAAGAAAGACCTCGTATGGAAATAACTCCAAGAAACATAATCAAACGCAAAAAGCAAGAGGCAAACATATTTAAATTCTACACTACCTTTTTGCATTGGCGAGGGAAAAAATAAGCACGTGTATATTTGTATTTGCCTAAAGAAAGTTTAGAATAACACAAATACTAATAAAACAGTAGGTATTCAACAGATGAAGCAGTGGTGGGAATGAGCCATTTCGTGGTTTACATAATTATATTGTCTTGGATGTAGAACCACATGAATGTATTACATAGTTGAAAAAATAAATTTAAAAAGTAAAGAGGCAGCTCATGGGAAAGGATTGCCATGTTGTCTCTGACAAACACAGGTCCTAAAGCTCCTTTGCCTTACCAGAAATCCACAGTGGATAGAGTTGGGCCAGTGCTCAGATTCGTGTAGGCATTAACTGCACAGATACTGTTCCAGTGGACACAGGAAAATTCAGTTACCTGGACCATCTGTGAGCCTGGCTACATCAGCAGAGGGCCTCTGAGCAGTGAAGAAAATGCCTTCTCCAGTGAATTCACTGGCTTTCCCACGTGTCCCACACTCAGCTGCTAGTTAAGAGTGACTGTGAACAGGCCATACAACACCTGGCACATCAAGTGCATTCAACAAATATTTGTGGAACAATCAATGGGATCGTTGGACTCTAATTGATGGAATATCACATACCCATTAAAAATTGAGTCTTTCACAGGAACCGAAATCCAAACACTGCATGTTCTTACACATAAGTGGATGTGGAACAATGAGAACATATGGACACAGGGAGGAACATCACACACCGGGGCCTGTCAGAGGGTGGGAGGCTAGGGGAGGGATAGCGTTAGGAGAAATGCCTAATGTAGATGACAGGGTGATGGATGCAGCAAACCACCATGGCACGTGTAGACCTATGTAACCCACACGTTCTGCATATATACTGCAGAACTTAACAGTGTAATAATAAAAAAAAATTGAGTCTTTAAAAAATTTCCAATAATATGATGTAATGGGATACAAAAAAAAGCAGACTATAAAACTTATATAGGGTATAATTTGGATGCTATAAAAATACAAATATATAAGAGGGGGAAAAAAAAGACTGGAAGGAAATACACAGTGACCCTGAGGTTACTTCAGGCTACGGGCTTGTGGGGATGTTCCAGGACTGGTGATGCATCAGCAGCCTGGTCAGCTCCAGGTATTTAGAAGGAAAAGCTATGGCCCTGCCACAGCAGGCACGGGCAGGAAAAAGTGCTGTTGTCAGCGTCCAGCTCCTCCAGACTTCAGAGAAGAGGAGGGTGAGAAAGGACACACCTGGGAGGGGGTTGGTTACCATGGCGAGGAGGCTCTATGCTGTGGGCAAGTCCGGTTTTCTCACACCTGGTTGCACGAACTTCTGCTTTTAGCTCACTTCCTTCTCTCCTTGTCTTTCTCTCAGTTTCATTCCCGGGCCTTTTGCTTTTGTTTCCTTGTAAAGATATTTTCCCCCAATTCCTTTTACATTATGTCTTATTCTTAACTTTTACCTGGTTTTGTCCCGACTTTTGTTCATAGGCATCAATCTCATCTCCTGGTTCATTTTCAAATTCTCCTCTTGAACTGCCTTTCACATCTGTCTTTTATCTTTTACTGCACGTTTACGTTCTTTGCCTTGTAGCCTTTATCTTTTAAGAATAAAAGAATAGGAAACGATCCAAGATGGCCGATCGCTAACATCCCGGGATTGCAGCTCTCAGGGAAGGTGCGGAGAACTAGAGGACGCCACACTTTCAGACAACTTCTGGTCGCTCACGGAGCAGGAGATCCCCCAGTGGAGGAAACACACGGGTGGCCAGCGCGACTCTCGTGGCCGGTGCAGTGGTTCCGCCGGCACCTCGGCGCAGCAGCTCTCAGAGCAAAGTAAACAGATTCGGAGGACCAGCCCGGGTCCCCAGCAGGACACCAGAGCCCGGCGCAGTGGATGTGACGGAACCTCTGCGCGGGAGCGCTTGGCGCAGAGTAAACAAGACCGGTTTCCCTTCTGACCGAGGTTTGGAGCCCCGGGAAGGCAGAGTCGCCTACTAAGGACACAAGAAGGAAGCCCGACAGGAGAATCCTGGGCAGAAAAGCACCATCAGTTTTAACGCCGCTGCTCTGGCCCTGGGGACTAACAACCTGGACGTCCACTCAAGAGACCTAATCTGAAAGTTGGTAATTTCAAAGAGACAGGAGGATAAATTTACAATGACGGGAAGAAACCAGCGTAAAAAAGCTGAGAATACTCAAAGTCAGAACGCCTCTCCCTCTAAAGATGATCACAGTTCCACATCAACAATGGAACAAGGCTTGATGGAGAACGAGCGCATCCCAATGACAGAATCATTCTTCAAGGAATGGATAATAAGAAACTTCGGTGAGTTAAAAGACCATGTTGTAGCCCAACGTAAAGAAACTAGGAACTTTGAAAAAAGGTTTGATGAAATCCTATTGAGAATAGACAACTTAGAGAGGAGTATGAGTGAATTAATGGAACTAAAGAATACAATACAGGAACTCCGAGAAGTATGCACAGGTTTAAACACTCGAATTGTTCAAGCAGAAGAAGGGATATCAGAGGTCAAAGTCCAACTTAATGAAATAAAATGTGAAGAAAAGATTAGAGAAAAAAGGATAAAAAGGAATGAGCAAAGTCTCCAAGAAATGTGGGACTATGTGAAAAGACCAAATTTACGTTGGATAGGTGTACCTGAATGTGACAGAGAGAATGAATCCAAGCTGGAAAATACCCTTCAGGATATTATTCAGGAAAATTTTCCTAAACTAGCAAAGCAGGTCAACATTCAACCCCAGGTAATACAGAGAACACCACAAAGATATTCCTCAAGAAGAGCAACCCCAAGGCACATAATCGTTAGATTCACCAGGGTTGAAACGAAGGAGAAAATACTAAGGGCAGCCAGAGAGAAAGGTCATGTAACCCACAAAGGCAAGCCTATCAGACTTATAGCAGATCTCTCAGCAGAAACTCTACAAGCCAGAAGAGAGTGGGGGCCAATATTCAACATTCTCAAAGAACAGAACCTTCAGCCCAGAATTTCATATCCAGCCAAACTAAGCTTCACAACTGAAGGAAAAATAAAATCTTTTATGAACAAGCAAGAACTCAGAGATTTTATTACCACCAGGCCTGCTTTACAAGAGCTTCTGAAAGAAGCATTACACACAGAAAGAAACAACTAGTATTAGCCTTTCTAAAAATACACCAAAAATTAAAGAGCACCAACATAAAGAAGAATTTACACCAACGAATGGATAAAACAGCCAGTCAACATCAAATGGCAATAACCCTAAATTTAAACTGACTAAATCCCCCAATCAAAAGACACAGCCAAAACCCAATGGCATGTTACATCCAGACGTGTTTCACATGCAAGGATACACAAAGACTCAAAACAAAGGGATGGAGAAAGATTTACCAACCAAATAGAGAGCAAAAATAAATAATAAATAAATAAAAAGCAGGAGTTGCAATTCTCGTATCGGATAAAATAGATGTTAAAGCAACAAAGATATAGTAGTAAAAGGATCAATGCAACAACAAGAGCTAACGGTCCTAACACCCAGATACGAGACTTAGATTCAATGAGACAGAAAATTAATAAGGATATCAAGGACTCGAACTCAGATCCGGAACAAGTAAACTTAATAAATATTCATAGAGCTCTCCACTTCAAATACACAAAATATACATTCTTGTCAATACCACATCACACCTACCCATAAGTTTAAATGAAACATTGATTGGCCATTATTAATACTCAATTTTTTTCAAAATAAAGCAATATTTCCATTTACTCTCCCTCTTTCTCTTCCTCTTTCTTCCTCTCCTTTACTTATTTTTTTTTCTTTCCTTCTCTCAAAAAAAAAAAAGAAATCAACTTGTAAACCTCTAGATCCAGGTCGGCAATGTCTCTCTCATTGCTTGATTTCCTTCCTTCCCTTCCCTCCCTCCCTCCCTCCCTCCCCACTTCCTCTCTTCCTTCCTTCCTTCATCCCTTCCTTCCTCCCTACCGTCCTTATTCCCTCCCTCCCCGCTTCCTCCCTTCCTTTCTTCCTTCATCCCTTCCTTCCTCCCTACCGTCCTTCTTCCCTCCCTTCCTGCCTTCCTCCCCCCCCCAAAAAAAAGAATAAAAGAATATTTCATTTATTCTTAATATTTGTAAACACTTTTACCTATTGTATCAGGGTTCTCTGGAAAATAGGCAACACACTTTGTGTGTATACAAATATATATACACATATACGTATGTATCCAAATCCTATCCTCACATATGAAAGAGAGAGATTTATCAGTTATTATTTATTTTAGGGAATTGCCTCACATAATTATAGAGGCTAGCAAGTCGAGAATCTTTATCATAGGCTGGTAGGCTAGAGGGCCAGGAAGAAGTCAATGTTGCAGTTCAGGTCCAAAGGACATCTGATGGCAGAATTTCTTCTTGTTCAGGAGAGGTCAGTCTATCATTCAATTCAGGCCTTCATGAGGCTCATCCATGTAACGCAAGACAATTTGCTTCACTCAAACTCCACCGATTTAAATGTTAATCTCATCCAAAAACACTGTCCCAGAAACATTCAGAATAATAGATCGTATCAAATACCTGGACACCATGGCCTAATCAGTTTGACATATAAAATTAACTATTACACCTACTTATATTTTGTAGGTTTTTAATGATTTGTTTAAATGTATTATAGCTTTTAAATATCAGGCTTTTAGTTTCTATACATAGTTTTGCCCATTATTGAACTTTATTATTATTATTTTTTTATTTTCAATTTATTTTTTATTTTATTTTTTATTTTTTTTGGGGGGGGAAGGCAGGAAGGGCGGGAAGAAGGACGGTAGGGAGGAAGGAAGGGATGAAGGAAGGAAGGAAGGGAGGAAGCGGGAGGGAGGGAATAAGGATGGTAGGGAGGAAGGAAGGGATGAAGGAAGGAAGGAAGGGAGGAAGCGGGGAGGGAGGGAGGGAGGGAGGGAAGGGAAGGAAGGAAATCAAGCAATGAGAGAGACATTGCCGACCTGGATCTAGAGGTTTACAAGTTGATTTCTTTTTTTTTTTTTTTTGAGAGAAGGAAAGAAAAAAAAAATAAGTAAAGGAGAGGAAAAAAGAGGAAGAAAAAGAGGGAGAGTAAATGGAAATATTGCTTTATTTTGAAAAAAATTGGGTATTAATAATGGCCAATCAATGTTTCATTTAAACTTATGGGTAGGTGTGATGTGGTATTGACAAGAATGTATATTTTGTGTATTTGAAGTAGAGAGCTCTATGAATATTTATTAAGTTTACTAGTTCCGGATCTGAGTTCGAGTCCTTGGTATCCTTATTAATTTTCTGTCTCATTGAATCTAAGTCTCGTATCTGGGTGTTAGGACCGTTAGCTCTTGTTGTTGCATTGATCCTTTTACCACTATATCTTTGTTGCTTTAACATCTATTTTATCCGATACGAGAATTGCAACTCCTGCTTTTTATTTATTTATTATTTATTTTTGCTCTCCATTTGGTTGGTAAATCTTTCTCCATCCCTTTGTTTTGAGTCTTTGTGTATCCTTGCATACGAAACAGGTCTGGATGTAACATGCCATTGGGTTTTGGCTGTGTCTTTTGATTGGGGGATTTAGTCAGTTTAAATTTAGGGTTACTGCCATTTGATGTTGACTGGCTGTTTTATCCATTCGTTGGTGTAAATTCTTCTTTATGTTGGTGCTCTTTACTTTTTGGTATATTTTTAGAAAGGCTAATACTAGTTGTTTCTTTCTGTGTGTAATGCTCCTTTCAGAAGCTCTTGTAAAGCAGGCCTGGTGGTAATAAAATCTCTGAGTTCTTGCTTGTTCATAAAAGATTTTATTTTTCCTTCAGTTGTGAAGCTTAGTTTGGCTGGATATGAAATTCTGGGCTGAAGGTTCTGTTCTTTGAGAATGTTGAATATTGGCCCCCACTCTCTTCTGGCTTGTAGAGTTTCTGCTGAGAGATCTGCTATAAGTCTGATAGGCTTGCCTTTGTGGGTTACATGACCTTTCTCTCTGGCTGCCCTTAGTATTTTCTCCTTCGTTTCAACCCTGGTGAATCTAACGATTATGTGCCTTGGGGTTGCTCTTCTTGAGGAATATCTTTGTGGTGTTCTCTGTATTACCTGGGGTTGAATGTTGACCTGCTTTGCTAGTTTAGGAAAATTTTCCTGAATAATATCCTGAAGGGTATTTTCCAGCTTGGATTCATTCTCTCTGTCACATTCAGGTACACCTATCCAACGTAAATTTGGTCTTTTCACATAGTCCCACATTTCTTGGAGACTTTGCTCATTCCTTTTTATCCTTTTTTCTCTAATCTTTTCTTCACATTTTATTTCATTAAGTTGGACTTTGACCTCTGATATCCCTTCTTCTGCTTGAACAATTCGAGTGTTTAAACCTGTGCATACTTCTCGGAGTTCCTGTATTGTATTCTTCAGTTCCATTAATTCACTCATACTCCTCTCTAAGTTGTCTATTCTCAATAGGATTTCATCAAACCTTTTTTCAAAGTTCCTAGTTTCTTTACGTTGGGCTACAACATGTTCTTTTAACTCACCGAAGTTTCTTATTATCCATTCCTTGAAGAATGATTCTGTCATTGGGATGCGCTCGTTCTCCATCAAGCCTTGTTCCATTGTTGATGTGGAACTGTGATCATCTTTAGAGGGAGAGGCATTCTGATTTTGAGTATTCTCAGCTTTTTTACGCTGGTTTCTTCCCGTCATTGTAAATTTATCCTCCTGTCTCTTTGAATTTACCAACTTTCAGATTAGGTCTCTTGAGTGGACGTCCAGGTTGTTAGTCCCCAGGGCCAGAGCAGCGGCGTTAAAACGGATGGTGGTTTTCTTCCTAGGATTCTCCTTTCC